GGGGACTTCAACACCCCACTTTCAGCAATGGACAGATCAACCAGACAGAAAGTTAGCAAGGAAACAGCAATTAATCGACACTATACATCAAACGAACCCAACAGATATCTACAAAACTTTTCATCCTACAGTTGCAGAATACACATTCTTCTTACCAGTTCATGGAACTTTCTCTAAGACAGACCACAGGCTAGGCCATAAAGAAAGTGTCAGCAAATTCAAAAAAATCAAAATAATACTATGCATCTTCTTTGACCACAATGGAATAAAGCTGAAAAATCAACAATTCAAGAACCTCTAGAATATAAGCAAACATGGAGACTGAACATGCTCCTGAATGAACAGTGGGTCACAAAAAAAGAAGTTGAAGAACAGTTTTTTTTTTTCATACTATTTGCTGAACTCTTTACTTAGTATAGAGTTAATCTTCTGTGTATGAGGTTAATTAGAGTTCAGTAAAAAATAAGAATGGGATTAGGAGAGGGAAGAGGAAGAAGGGTAGGAGAGTTAGTGAGAGGGTGGGTACAGTGGGAACAATCACTATGTTCTTAAAGTTGTATTTATGAAATAAATGAAATTTGTATACCTTAAATAAAAGGTCTCTGAGGAAAATAAAATAAAATAAAAATGAGGGGAAAAAAAAGAAAGAAGCCTCTGGAACTTGATATCAAATCTCTACTCCAGATAATAAGACGAAACAAGCAAGAAATAAAAGTACCCCCTCTGACCATACTATGTGGGTTTTTCCAAGCACCTTTCCCAATTACACATGCTTAGCATAACTGCAATCATATTACACAAGTAAACTCACACTTTCCTCTTCATTTATAACCATAATTTTGATATCCATAATTCCTATAGGAATTACTCTTCTGAATATCTTTCTGTGGTTATTTAACTATTTCTTGATTCTTGGGCATTATGTGGCTTCTGTTTTCTGTGTTAATAAGCAGAAATATAATGTATATCTTTAACAAAAGAGAGAAGCAAACCAAAGTTAAAAAATTCATCATTTTTTTTAAAGTTGTCTTTCTTTATACTTTAAAAACAACCTGAAAGGGAGATCTATGTATTTCTTAATGTTTATTTATTTCATTTTTATCTACCTGAAGAGTGAGATAGAAGAGACAGAGAGGGAAATGTAGTGATCTTCCACCACTGGCTCACTCCCTTTGTTCCTTTCATTTTCAGTTTGGGACCGGCTTAGCTGTTTAGAATAATTCTATGTGAGAGGACTGTTTACTTTTCTTCCTGTAGAGTATTCAGATCACTGGTCATCAAAGAGTAGGATGACACTGCAGCCAGTGACGGTTCTCTGTGAAATGGGAGTGAGGGGTCCTTCACGGGAGTCATAATGCAGAGTGTACAGGACGTTGCGCACCACACTCTGATGCAGGTATTCAAAGGAATACTCAGCACACAGTCTGAGCCGCCACGAGGGCTCCTGTCTCACTCAGCAGCTTCTGGGGATCACTCTATCCCTCCTACTCCCCTTCCTTCCTAGTTGTACCGTCTCACCTGGGATCTGGGAAGGGGAGATTCCGAACAGAGAAAACACAGAGAAAATGCATGTCCGCATACACTGAGAGAGCACCCATGGCCACATTTTGATGGGATCAACTGCCCTTCATCTCAGACACAAGTCTCTCTCACTTCCTTCAGAGGGGTACTGGGCCTGGTTTCTGTTTCAGGAACGTGGGGAGAGGCAGAGCTACTTCATTCTGTTTGAATGGACAAGGGGAAAGAAATGGCCTGGATTACACTTTGGAGCGTGGTAATAAAAGGGCCAGCTCCAGGTGCTGCTGGGACAATAGACACAGGGTCATCTGGAAACAAACAGGGACACAGATTTCTCCAGTGAGATGGCTTTGGTTTGCAAAAGACTCCTGCCAATCCTGTATCTCCCTTCTCTGCCCTTGAGCTGGAGGAGCTATGAGAGTCAAAGATGGGACAGTCCTTTCTGCTCAGTGAGAGGAGAGGAGACACAAATGTGATCCTGATATAGCCAGAGAAGGTGGCTGTCTGGCCTTCAACACACAATCCAGACATCATCTTCCCCACAGAAACTGTGTTCTCCCTGGTTATTGAGTTTCAGTATGTTGTATGTTTCATGTACACTGGGATTGTACAAATGATGTATACTGACCTGTATGCCTTATCACTATGCTTCTACCTCCCAAAAAATGTATTTCAAGTTCTCAACATCAGCTTAACAAACCGTATCCCTAATGGGAGCTGCTTATGCTTTAGATGCAGTTTACAAATTTATATGTCACGAACTTTTTTTTAATCTCTCCTTCTAGGTGGGCCAATTACCTGACAGGCTACATAATTTAAAATATATAGGTGTAGGGCAGGTGTCATAGTGCAGCTGGTTAAGCTGCCACTTGGGACACCGCCATGATCAGAGTACCTGGTTCAAGAGCTAGCTACTCTGTGCTTCCAATATAGCTTCCTGATAATGCACCCAGGAAATGGTGGATGACGGTCCAAGTACTTGGGTCCCTGCCATTTACGTGGCAAACCTGGATTTAGTTCTTAGCTCCTGGCTTCAACCTGGCCCAGCCCCAGGTATTGCTGGCAGCTGGGGAGTTCGTCAGCAGATGGAAGATCTCTCTTTCTCTCTGTCACTCTGCCTTTCAAGTAAATAAAAGTGAATAAATAAACATTAAAAATAAAGAACTCTCTCTCTGCATTTCAAGTAAATAAATAAATATCTTTTCAAAAGATGTGTGCCTCTGGTAAAAAAAAAAAAAAAAAAAAAAAGCAAAAGAATAGGAGGGAAAGGAATGCAGGAGAGGAGGAAAAAAATCGTTCTCCCAGTCTTCACAATCCAATGAAGATGCTGCCTCTCAGGCACCGTAGCTTGGAGAGGTGAAGTCTCACTGTTGATCAAATACAGATATCACTCTGCACCAACTGCAAGTTACTAAATCATGCAATTAACTTAAGTATGCTCTTGATCAAGTGAATGCTGCTACCTATAAAATGGAGTGAATATCTTATGTTAATTTGCCTTTAAAACTCTTAAGTTCTTTTGATTTGGCAGTACCTCTTTTAATTTGCCTGCCCTGTTACCTATTTACATAATGTTTCCTATTCATAAATGAGAATGAGACCATTGTTTCAATGGGAGAAAAAAAAAAAAAGAAATTTCAAAGCATCATTCTCAAACTCAATCCAAAGCTTCAGTATGTTAATTCCCAGAACTGAATTTTCCTCCAGATTCTACAAAATCAGGGCTACTGATTTCTTTGGTAGGTCTCAAAAATATGTGTCTTCCAGTTGGCAAACACAGCTTTCAATCAGCCACCTGAATTATCTTAGGAGGCTGGAGGCATCATTATTCTTCAAAAGCCACAGTGCCAAGTTCACAGAAGATTTTGGGCATATTGAATCAAGACTATGGTCTTCAGTTTTTCTTGAAAGCTGCTTATAAAAGGATTGAGTGAAAGAAACTTTGAAATGTGCATCAAGTCACGACTAAGGGGCAGGTTTGCAAAATCAATTGTGCAGCTTTTATACTCAGTGCACATTTACCACATATGTCCTTTATTACACAGTGGAAAACCATTAAATGCACAGTAGTTTTGCCAAGTGGCATTATGCATTTAACAGCTTTATTCGTTTAACAGCTCCAACTCTCATTATATTTTGCCATGTGGTACATGGGATTTTATGCATTTAACAGTTTAAGAAGGCTCTATGGTATTTTCTTTTCATGTATTTCATACTACGGTTGGACATCATGTCTCAGCAAACTGTATTTCACTGGTTTCATTGATGAGAAAGTCAAGAGAATCTGGAAAAATTACCGTGCTGAAATTGAAAAGGGAAATAAATATTTCAATTCTCTTCAAGGTTCCTTGATATTCTGCTTTCCTCTCTATTAATATCTGAAAATAACCTAAGTTGGGCAAAACTGCAGGATAAAACAATCATCTCAAAGCAACAGAATTAGTTTAAACGTGACACATGACTATCATTTCTTAAATTTCAGTTTTTACTGAAAACCTGATTGCTTAATAGAAATACAGTACTCCGCAACTTCTTTATAACACATGGCTGATCTGTTTGGAGAATGATGGGCCGCTTTACCATTTACATGTGTCGGGATGAAAACATTTGTCACGCAAGGTCACAGAGGAAATCAAGCTCAAAATCAAAGGACCCTCAGAATGTGGTTTAGCTAACTTTGGTTTCTTCCTCCTTACATTAATTGTTCATCCTATGGATAAATAAATAGCCTGTTCAAACTAACCTAGGATTCTAGGACTGGACAGTTATTCATCTGAATCATAGAATAGATCTCATCAACTGTTGCTGCTTTCAGAAATAAAAAAAAAAAAAAAACACCAAGCATCTGTCTGCTCTTTTCCCCAGAGTATTGCATTCCCCACAATCTCAGTACTCTGAAATTTTTACTGGATAAGCTTCCATGTTTTTCTGCTAAAAGATTTTAACACTTACTCTGCACTCCCCCACATGTGTTTTCTCCTGGAAAAACAACTGCATTCAGTACTTAAAAGAAACACCTGACTATCACAAGGTGTCTCTGGGGCTGTGGGAAAGTGGTTATTAGACAAAGTCAGCCTTCCCCTGGTGGGAATAAGAGGTGATGCGACCTGGCTGAAACTTGGTCTCAGGAAGGTGCTGTTATGTACAGTCTAAGTTCTGTTCAAATACCAAAAACAAATAAATAAATAAGACAGGAGGAACTACATAGCAGTGCTTAGAAGGAGAAGTCATTCAAAGCTGGCTTTTTTCGGGGGTGGTGGGGTACAGAATCTTTAAAAGTGAAAAGCTGCGTTTTGGCTTGGTCTCTATTTTGAACTCCAGTGGGAGTGAAGGCGAACCACAGAGCAGAAGGCAGAACATGACAGGTTCCCTGGGGATTATTATTGTTATTATTATTGTAGGAACAGATGTATTTTTATTAGTGGGAGGAGGAGAAAGGTCTGATTCCAGCCCTCGATTTTGCTCTTTTAAAAAGCACTCACCTGACTTTTATTTGCAGCCACTTTGGCAAACAGGGCTTGAGACACCTTGGCCCTTTTCATCTCCTGTTGGATCTCGTCATAAATGGCAGCTGTGATGTTGACGTTGGCGCCGTCCACCTTAATAGGGAGGTCTGCTGTCGGTGTCGAGGTTTTGGCCTACCAAGAGACCATGAAAATAATAATTTAAAAAGTGCTGCATTCAGCCCAGCCATCTGTGCAGAAATTATCAAAGGATTTCAGTCAGCTGATGCCAAACTGCATTAGCTACAGAGGGACACTTCCTGTCCATTATTCTAATCAGGTTAATTGTGATTGGAAATAATTGCAGGCATTCCTATAGGACACGCAGAATCCTGTCAGCCCTGGTCTTTCCCCTCCCAACATCCTGGATGGTTCACAGGTAGGATGGCTACTCTGGGCGTCAAACTGTAAGTCATCACCTAACCGCAAAACAAACGTGCAGAACATACACAGTTACTTTTTTCTTTCTAAAAGTGGCACACCTTGGAGGAAGAGCCAGTTCTTCCAGAAAAAAAAAAAAAAAAGGAGTAAATGGGTAGAGATCTCTAAATAATAAATTATTACTCAATTTAATGCACTCCCCTGAGTCTCTCTCATTCTTTATTAAACCTTTACGTATGTCATTCGAGTATGTATGGTTTCCCATCATTATCATCATTATGCTACCCAGACAGTCACCTAATTTCACCTAGGAAATCAGTGGAAATGAAACAAAATTTCATTTCATAAAACTAGGCTTCAGAATGCCTTTGATGTGCCGTTTTCATTTTCTTAAACTCATATTGTGGTTTTATGTATTCTGCTGTGCTCGTTTTAATTGAATGATTTCCCATCAGCTTCAGAGACAAATGAAGGACAAAATAGAAGGTTCTGAAGTTCTTGGGTAAGGATAACCCTAAAACATTTGTATCTACTTGATCTAAAAGGCTGTCACATCATCTGCTTTGTCTGGGCCCTAGAACGCTTTGCTGGTGTTTGATGGGAGGAACTAAGCAGCGTGCCTCGTCCCCCTGGCAAAATGATTCCAAGATTCTTGGGCTCGTGAGCTCTGCCGTTTGAACTGGTCTAACCTGGGTTGTTGTTGTTTTCCTTTTTGTCCTACTTCATTCTGGAATTCCAAGCCAAGGAAGCTGTCCCCAAACCACAACTTTCCCTCCACCGACGCCCAGCAGGTGAACCAGTACACCGGTCTGGAGAAAGACAGCAGGCAGCCTGCGTGGGGCACAATCCTCTTCAGTAGTGTCCTGAGGTGGACTTCATGCCCTCTGCTTCCATGGTTTGCTTCCTAAGAGCTCCCGGTGACTTTTGTCATTCCCCTTCAACCTCCCTGTCTCAAGGTGTTTTCTAATTACTGCGAAGGCATAAGTAGAATTTACGGGGTACCTCTATTAACCAGGAACTCCAGAAAGTATTTTACTGTTTGTCATTTAATTCTTTGAATAATCCCATGAGTTAGGCATTGCTATTTTCATTTTACAGATGAGGAGCTGGCTTGACTTGCTGAAAGGATACACAGCCAGTGAAGGGTCCATGACCTTAACCCACGTCCTTCAGGTCCCAAACAATGGGCTTGCGCCCATGTGCTATCTGGGTTACAAAATGCCCACGTGATCCCGGCTGCTCTTGTAAGGTGTCCTCCTCCCTGCTCGTCTGGAACCTTCCCATGATAATCTGATTCTCTCTCTCTCTCTTTTTTTTTCAAGAAATTCCTTTATCCTCTCAAAATTTTGACTTGGCTGAATGTTTTAGTAAATCATTCTGCCTTTCTCAGCTGTTTTATTGGCTCCTCTTATCTAACTGGTCAGTTCTCCAGAACTCTGCCAGCCAAAAAACAAAACAAAACAAAAAACTCCCTCAAGGAACTACATAGATGGCTGGGAGCCTAGGTTCTAGAATCAGAATAACTACAGCTGAAATGCTGGCTCTACCCCACAGCCCTGTGATCTTATACAAATTATTTAACTCATTTAAACCTCAGTTTCCTCATCCATAAATGGGGGTAGCACCCTAAGATAGTGAGGATTGACTTCATGCATCATTCTCACCCTAGCCAATACACAGTCAGAGCTGTTGAACAAGGTTATTCTTATCTTTATATTGTGGTTTTGTTGTTATTAAGTACACCAAGGAATTCTGGCCAATTGAAGAGTTACAAGGAGAGACTCTGGAGTCTTCTTAAAGTTCTAAATGCTAAATTTCAAATTCTAAATTTCTTCATTTTGTTTTTAATCAACCAGCAAAGTATGACTGGAGTCTGGAAAATAGTCTCCCCAGACCTGTGGAGGGCCACCTGTGGCTGCGGACCCACTGCCTCTGACACGAAGGCTGTCAGCAAGGTGCCCTCCAACACTGGCTCTCACAGTGAGAGCTTTTCCCTTCCAGGGGGTCCCCAGAATTGAGATATGTCTGCAAAGAACTGAGGAGGCAGGTGCTCACGAAGTGCGTAGAAGACCAGGACATCCCTCTTACCAATCTCTATCCAACAGAAAAAGGAAGAAAAGTCCAGAATAAATACAAGTGTATGCTCTCCTACAACTGTACTCTCAAACACACTTGAATATTGCATATTGATTTTCAAAAGAATTGCAAAATTCTGAAATTTGATAGTAACTTCTCTGTTACATTTATCCCTAAAAGGCACTCTTCTTTACCTAGGGTTTTCTAGACAGGATGAAGCTCAACAAAGGCAACACACTGCATGGCCTTGTGCGCTGTGCTGGCTCTTAGGGCTAACAACAGGTCTCTGAAAAGGTGCTCAGGATATGATCCTGTAAGCAAGCTCTTGTAAAGGAGCTAGAATCAAGCACACAGAACTGTGCTCTTTCCTCACAAAAAGTGACTGTCTGAGAAGAGCTGCCTGGTTAAAAGGCCATGAAACACGGCTGGACTTTCCTATAATGGATTTAATAGGCTACAAAAGTTACCAAAATACTGATGAATTTAATAGCAGCAAATATTCGTGCAACTTAACAACTCACCCTACTTACTAGCTCAATATGTATGTCCCCAATTTTTAAAAAAATAAATAAAAATACTTGGTTACACTTGTCCAAAATAAGCAGTCAAGAGACTTATTTTGGGTTTAACAGTAACTAAAATTCATAATTTATTAAAGACTAAAGTGTAAGTAACAGAATTTGGCAATGCACGATAGAAAGTGATCTTCAATAAAAAAAAATGTATTGCAGAGTACAAAAATATAAAAAGAGTCAAAACGTGTGAAAAAATGGATGCACTTGAAAAAGCTCAAATATTTCTACTAGAATAAAATTCTAATTCTATGCATAATAAGTTCTCTGGAATTTATCATAAAACAAACTCATAAAAGCAAAACCGTGGTATCTAAGCAATATAATCTCTGGGGTTGAAGCACCCAGTTTTCAGTTTTGCACAAATATGTACCTGTTAAAGGCTGGTTTTGAGAACTATCATTCAGATGGAACTTGCAAACACTTCTATCAACAGTGAATGGAATGGCAAAAATCCATTGATTAATAAAAGGTGAGGGCCGATGGGAAGCAGGCTAGAAATGAAAGGCCTCCGATCTGAATTGGAAATGACCTCTGACTGCCTTGAGCCTTCCGTTGGGAGCTCTGAAGCAGACTGCAGTGCTGGGGACATACAGTTGCAGCAGGGCCCAAAGAACAGAATTCTGTTAAAGCATGTAGAGGGGAGAAACGGATGGCAGGGACTCCCAGGTGGAGATTGCCTTAGGGAGGAAAACAATGAAGGCCTATCCTCCACTATCACTTCTGAAGGACTCACCGAGTGACTTCCCAACTGTTCTGATCTAGCCACTATAATCACATGCTTCCACGGCACCAGGGTTTCCCCCATTTTGTCTTTTTTGAATTGCATAAAACAGAGCTTTCATTACTCTCTGTCCCCTGCCCACAACCACCCGTCCAAATAAACAATTTAAGGAAAAGTACTGTGCTGAGTATGCAAAGTTTCAACACAAATCCCTAGCCCCTTCTTTGGTGACTCAATAGTTGTAGGTGGGCCGGTGCCGTGGCTCACTTGGTTAATCCTCCGCCTGCAGCACCGCCATCCCATATGGGCGCCGGGTTCTGGTCCTGGTTGCTCCTCTTCCATTCCAGCTCTCTGCTGTGGCCCAGGAAGGCAGTGGAGGATGGCCCAAGTGCTTGGGCCCCTGCACCCGCGTGGGAGAGCAGGAGGAAGCACCTGGCTCCTGGCTTCGGATCGGCACAGCGCCGACCATAGCGGCCATTTGGGGGGTGAACCAACAGAAGGAAGACCTTTCTCTCTGTCTCTACCTCTCACTGTCTAACTCTACCTGTCAAATAAGTAAAAAAAAAAAAAAAAAAAAAAAAGTTGTAGGTCGACAGTTCTAGAATTCCCCCTACTCACTCCTTACCTACTCATCACATATGGAAAAAAAATGTGGCTTCCCTAAATGACTAAAATGGTACACAGTGTAGTACACTATTATATTACTATATTGTCAGAGGTTCATATCCTTTGACCAACATATTCAGTGGGTTAAGCAATCCTTGAATTATGTCTTTTAGCTTACCAGGTAAAACACAGTATTAGTGAAGGAAGAAGTTAACAGAGCAAAAAAAGGAAATGCCAGAGGAGCAAATGTCTCACCTGAGGGGTGCGGGAGGAGCTGGGACTGCTGGAGGCCGACGAGACCATGCTCACATTGGGGTTCATGCTCCGCTCTCTCTCGTCCTGGTATATGCGATCTCGCTCCACTTCTGGCAGGTTGAGGAAATTCTGCATGGCCCTCAGGTTCACTAACAGAGACTGAGAGGCCGTCCGAGGGTCTTCTTCCTTACGCAGAATCTCAGACAACAACCCCTGATGAGATGGGAAGAAAAATAGGCCCAGTCATTTCTGCCCGGGTATGCATGCGGCTTCCGACTTCTGCCCTGCTCCCCCCTTTATGTCTGTGGTGCAACCAGCTGACCAGTTCCTTATGGTTCTCCAGCTGAAAGACTTTGTTGGAATGTGCCTGCCTTCCTGGGCCTTGCCTGGTTTGAGGGCCGTTCTGTTCTGACACTGTATCATCGCTGTTAGCAGTCATGGGTGTACAGAGATGCCAGTGAGCAAGGTAGGCGCTAGGGAAGAATTGTGAAACTGCAATTAGCACCAGGTGCCTCCTACAAGTATTTCAGGAACTGTTAGAACTCTCTCTGCTTGAAACTGGGAGCACTTGGCAGTCCTGTTCAGCTTTACAAATCTGCCAAGTTTGGTAAATTTAGTTCCGACATTTAAACAGCATGGGAGATTTACATCTTTTTTTTTTTTTAAAGATTGGCTGAATTTCTGTGTGACCGGCCACTGTTTTCAATATAGATGTTTCCAATGGAATGGAAAAAAATAAAAATAAAAAGGACATAAAGCAAATGACAATAGCTTGTGTTAAACCTCTGATAACTTCCCAGACCACATACAAAATAATTACCATTGTACATATACTAAAAAGTATCCAAACATTTTCATGAGATGCCCTCATGGGGCAAGCTCGAGCCCACCTCCAAAGCATGAAAAGGCAGCCTCCTCAGTGAGGGGCTGCAGCACACCTTAACTAGAGTGTGTACTGAATGCTATGATAGGCTTAGACATTTGCGGAATGTGTGACTCATCCAAATGGAAAGATTTCAATAGGAAATTAATGTTTTTACTATGTGGTCTAATGACAGAGAATTCACAAAGGGAAATGCTGCTAAGTCTAGGGAAACCCTAGTATAGGCACAAGAAGAGGGTTGGAGATCCAAGAAGGAACACTAATATTTTTGACAGATGCACTTCCATTTCCAGTGTGCACATTTGTTGGATTATCACATAGAGGCATCATTATATATTCCCAGCTAATATCCCTCCTCAGAGCAAGAGGAGATCAGAGTTTAGGATTATTCACTGTGAAGAGCTGAGATATTAATCCTGTGTCTTAGAACAGATGGGGCAACCCCAAATCATGAAAAGTCACTTGTATAGACTGTAGAAATGTGGTACAAATGACAAAGGTATTTCCACTGGAGTGGAAATTAGAGCAACTACTACCCAATTCCTGATACATGGCTTGAATATGAAAAGACACTGGATACAACAAGAATATACCATCTGTGGTTGGTCAGAAATCTGCAGGGTGAGGTAGGCAATGTTTTAAAATAAAGTAATGCATTACAACATAGTGAACCAGAAGCCACTTACTGGAACATGCATCACACAGCAATCAGCACTCCAAGAAAATTATCACCACTCAAAACACCACATAAGACAACTGACTGTAAAGAACCCACAAATAGTGTACATCTGACAGTTTTGCAACTTTGGGGTCATGGTATTTTGGTCAGAGAAATCAAAACTAATACTTGGTAGAAATGTATATATAGGGCTGACATTGTGGCACAGCAGGTTAAGCTGCTGCTTGCAACACTGGCATCTGATATGAGCCTGGGTTCAGGTCCCGCCTGCTTCACTTCTGATCCAGCTCCCTACTAATGCATCCGGGAAAACACGCAAGATGGTCCAAGTACTTGGGCCCCTGCTACCTGTATGGGAGACCCTCCTGGCTCCTGGATTTGGACTGGCCCAGCCCTGTCCGCTTTGGCCACTTAGGGAGTGAACCAAAAGATCGATCTCTCCTCCTCCCACCGCCCCCCATAACTCCACCTTTCAAATAAATTAAATAAATCTTCAAATAAAAGTGTGTATACATAAAGCACTACTGGAGAGCTGTGTGTGTGCCCATGTGCATGTGTATGGTAAAGGAAAGGGCAAGTGAGGATGTGAAAATACTCTCCCGGTAAAATGATTTAAAGAAAATTCAGATTTCTTGCCATGCTTTTAAAGGTAACAACTGAGAGATTCACCTTCTAGAAAATGTTACACACTATAGATATTGATTTTCTTCCCGAAGTTAAAAAATGTCAGTTCTGCCTTAAGTTATCCTACTTTCCACTTGCACTAAGCAAGTGGATTTGTTTTGAAAAATACAAAAATATCTAAATTAATATGTTGAGAGGAGGAAATGGATTTAAAACCTCTGCCAATTTCCAGTACCAGTAAGACACTAAGACTGATTTTTTTAGGCTTTCTTTAATGATGAACCTTACACATAAAGGATGAGTTTGTCTTCTTTTCTCATCTTTCATGTCCCCCCTAAATAACTTCAGTATTTTAATAAATCTCAAATGATTAAAATTTGAAGAAGTTTTAGAATCAACATGGATATATTCTTTATGATAGTTACGATTATATTCAAGAAATCTCAAAGTCAAATTTGAAAGTTTAGAAACTTATCCTTCCTCCAGGAAACTGTTTTCGCAACCTAAGAATAAATTATAGCAAAGATCTTTACACAAAATAGTGATACCACAAAAACTATTGCTCTAAAGGTTTAAAATTATATGCTTGCTCATTCCTAATCAATAAAAAAATCATTCAAAGGTATTTTCATTTGTGTCTTGTTTGGGTTTTCTTTTTTACCCCCACCTTGTACATTTTTTACATTTGGATACCTTATCTGGAAATTAATCCATCCCTAAGGAAAATGAGGACAAAGCATCCTTGAGAATAACTGCTCATCACCATCCTCTCTGAGGCAAAAGACCTGTACTATTTGTATTTAAAGGGGCTTTTAGAATATACTGCTGCCTCTGTTTCTTTGCCAACTTGCAGATAAAGTCCTAAACAAACAAGATGGTCAGTGCAACCTCTCTATATTACCTCCAGAGGATAAGAACCAATCCTGTTCCAACGATTTACTCAAGCTCTCATCTAGGTAGCAAAGGTCCCAGGGAAGACTCTTTTTACCCCAGACATTTTTAGTAACAAGTGGCTACCTAGTTGGTACCAGAAATGAAGTTTTAGTTGTCTTGTTCAGTCTTTCATTTTGGCTATTTGTGTGCTTTTAACTATTTTAAATCGGGGTTTTTAAAGATTAAAGTCTAAATTCTGCAGGCTCAGGTATACTAAGCTCAGATAGTGAGCTGAAAACCATCAGTGGGAAGAAAATATACAGAAAATCTTATGACTACCACAAATCACCCTGTCTAATTAGCAAGGTAAGTAAATGTTTGTCATATTGAAATTGTCTTGAAGAGAACATAAATTAATAATTTATCTCACATAAATATTTCTAAAGCCCTTGCCACTATGTCATCTGGCATTTTAATTATCAACCAGCCAGGCAGGAGGTGTCACTTGGACATTCCCATTATGCAGCCTGAGATATAGAAAATGTGGCATGGCACCTGGGCACCAGGAAGAAAAAAAAAAAGATGTACTTTTATGAATAGAAAGGTCATGAATATTGACAATGTGCAAATGGAGAGAAATTAATAAATTAACTAGGATATTGCTTATTAAACTTTCATATTAGTAATCATATTAAAACACATTGCAAGTATTGAGTAAAGTGGTCATTAAATATTTTCCTCATGGTAAGCAACAGAGCCTTCTCCAGGGAGATATCATAGCAATTTCCTCCATGCTAGCCAAGGTTATGTAAAACTAGGAAACAAGTTGACTGCAAAGGAGTAGAATGACCATCTACACAAGGTAGAGCAATGCCATCCCAAATAGTTCTTCCATTACAAATCACTGGAACAAGAAGGAGTCAGGCAAAGAGAACCTCAAATTCACCTTACCACTAGCCTACTAATGGAGGATTTCACAAGCTTCATATAATTTCCAGCACCAGCAAAGAACATATGAGTTTGGCAGAAAATTTATTCAAAGCAAAATAAAGTACAAAACGAGAAATAACATAGCTTGCTTGCTAATTTGAGTGTAGACTATCTCCACACATAAAACAAAGAGTTGGGCTGATTTTTAAAAAGAGAAATTTTTGTCCTTATTTTTTTCTGGTATTTTAAAATAATATCTCTTTGTAACAAATGACATGACTGTGTTTTCCATTGATGAGCTTTTGATTTCCATACTTCTTCAAGACTTGATACATTTTCTCCCAAATTGTTAGTGTGTATGATACATGCAGTTCGAGAAGTTTGGGAAACATTACCAAGACTCTACAAAATGTACTTCCAAGTAACTGCCTTTGATGGACCTTTAATCCCACAAGACAGCAGCAGTAAGAGAAGGCACACACATAGTGAGGGCAGGTGTTAGTGACATGAAGTCTGAGCCCCTCAGAGACACGTGGGCCCACCGCAGGGCTGACAGCCCCTAATTATCAACCAGATTTCAACAGATATCTTTCCTTCATGCAGCTCAGACCTTTAGAGACTCCCTGAGATAGGATATACCCTCCAAAGATTATCCAGAGAGCCCCTAAATCCAGTATCTACCATTGGTTACCGAGGGAATCCTCAAATTCCACATCCCTGGTTTCAAAGAATGACAAATGTGTCCATTAATTCATTATTACTTATGACTTGACACAAAGCTCACAAAGGCAAAAAACATCAATAACAAATTCTGCTCCCAAGGAGTATACTATATGATGGGAGAAAGGTTACTAGTACAATGTAAAAGATGACCAGTGTCACAAATGCATGTTAGAGCTGGTGCCTGATTCAAAGGAGGGAGAAAGCATTCCCAAATGTAGGACACAGGGAAAACTTTTTCCAAAAAGGTGAGACTTAGCTGGGACTTTAAACCTAAGCATAGGTAGTGTATGGGCATGGTGATAATGGTGAGACCAGGCAAAGAAAGAGGGGATGGAACGGGCACTATTAGAACATTTAAAGAAAAAGGAAGAGCACGCCTACTTCAGAATCTAAGGGGGAGTTTCTGTTTCTTTAAAAGCTAAAAAAAAAAAGGGGGGGGGTAACAACAGACACTGATAAACTGATAGAAGACATTCTGAAGTGAAAATAATACAGTCCACA